AAGAGAGAGAGAGAGAAAGAGGGAGGAGAGGGGGGGGGAGAAAAGAGAACTAGAATGAGAGGGAACGAGAGAGAGGATAAGGGAGGATAAAAGGGAGCGAAGAATATGGAGGAAAAGTGAAATGCATGCACCAGGCTCTGAAATAGAAATGGATAGAAAGTTGTCTGATGATTTAAGTTTGCGCGTGCACAGTCGAGCCCTAAATTCCCTGCTGACTTGATCCTAATTTCCCTGTCACTCGAGGTACCCACCGGACAAGAAGAAACAGCTTCATCAAGCCCTGGTCATAAAATACCACGCTAACGCTGGGGGGAATCCCCAAGGGCGGACAACCCTCGCAAATCGCCGCCAATCCCATAATTATCCCCCAAGCCAAACAAAACCCTCCTGCTGTCCCCGAGTGAACTCCTCGGGAATCCCCGAACCATGGATTAACGCCCCTTTGCGGCTGTGTTGTTTCTCTCTATTCTTTTAAGTTAAAGTTTGTTGTTCAGGTCACTCAAAGCATAAACTTCCCTCATTTCTCCAGCAATGTTTTCCGAAAGGTTACACTCCAGCACACATGCGGGTTATAAAGTATTTTGTGAAATAACATATTAGCTTAGGAGAAAATTGCCAAAATTATATTCTCTCTTTGTCAATGTCTTTTTAAAAAATATCCCTCTTTGTCCTTTCTGTCTGCCCAAATAGCCATTTGTTCAGAAAATAAAGGGACACGTTTTGATATTTGCTATCACTTTAACATTTTTTTGCTTCTTGAAAGCAAACTGACATAGAGCTCAGATATTCGATGAGAACTTTTTGAAGGCCTGTGCTGGAAAACTCACAATAATGAATAAAGTGCCAATAAAGCTTTCTCCCTCCAATGTTTTCGATAGGCCAAATACCATTATCCTCTCAAGCAATTTATTTTAAAGGATTTTTATTTTGTTTTGGAACTCAAAATTGTTGTTACAGCTTGAAAAAGAAATCGGTGCAGACCGCCTTATCCCTCCCTCTCTCTATCTCCCTCCCTATCCCCTTTCT